ACGTTTAAATTGTATAGCTAAGAATTCAAAATGTTAAATAAAGTTCTACGTAAATAGTTAATTCTGCGACAAAAAAAAATCTAAAATCTATAAAACACAGATTTTTTTAATAGTTATTTTAATTTCAAATTTGGATGAAATTACATATTAGATAACCGAGAATAACAATTTTAGTTAATATAGTATATATTATTGTAATTTAAAAATATTATTCGTGGGTACTTAAAATTTCTAAAGTATATTTTATATTCTAATTTTATTAGTTTATGTCAGTGTTTCTCAACCTTTTTGATATCACGGAACACCAAATAATAATATTTAAAAAATTTTCATGCGGAACCCCGTTGAAAATTATCTTTAGAGTACCGGTCGCCGGCGGTCTCTCTCTTTTGCGATTTTAAACTTTCGCGGAACCCTAGGGTTAAGAAACACTGGTTTATATTAATACTTTATAATACATTTTATATACCTACTATGAATGATTGAGTGAGTCGGGTACATAATGAATTTGATTTGATTAATTTGGAATTTATTTTAGGCACTTACATTTTTTTTTTTTTTTAATAATAGCAATTTAATTAATATAGTATAAAACTATAAGATAATATCTAAGACTGACAAACCATCTTCACTTAGAATCTTTTTTCGTATACAATGATCTTATATCATTGAATTGAATTCAAATATAATAYTATCCTTTACAGTAACTTACATGTAAACTATACTGTACAGATGAGCGACATCTACTTGCCCGCTTTTTTTCCTTTAAATGTTATCCGTAGGAAATAAATATATAATATTAGCAAATTAATTTTTAACTGAATGGCTAACTACCTACTATAATTTACCATAAATTAGTTTTTTAAAGGAAACTAATTATTTTCTATGTGTTCTGAGAATTCATAAAGCCAACAGAAAAAAATAAAATTAATGTGTTAAAAGACTTACGGAATTCGTAAAATATGTACTATAATTCATATTCAATATTCATACATATATTTCAAAAATACAAAGTATAAAAATGTCTATAAATTCAATTACACAGTAAAACTTACGGTTTTTTTTCTAACATWATATGTTTTCTGTTATATATTATATAAGAATACATTATCTAATTTTTTTAAGTACTCAATTTACCAAAATGTATATATGCTTATATGAAATATGTATTTTTAAATTGCGCCATTAAAAGTGATTATAATAATAAACACAACTTACAATATATCCTCTGCCTGAACTACAATTGCTACTCGCCTGTAAAACAAAACAGTCGTTAATTATGATTAAAAATTAATAAAATAGACATTTGATCTTACATCACTGAATCGTTCCCTCGAACTTGATCGTCTTTGACCACTCTGACTAAGCGAAGAAGTAGATACCTTATTACCAGATGGTCTTTTAAAGGATTGAACAGAATTTGAATGCACAACAGAAGCATCATTGTCTCCACCTTCACTGTCATGCTTTAAGTCCAACGACGAAGAATCCTATATAAATAATAATAAACATTCGTATTAGTAAAATCATAAATAAATATTTTATAGAGATCAAAGCTTAAAAATGGGGGTTTGGGGTTATTTATAAAACATTGGAACTTTCTACAATTTATATGTTTGTTTTCTGATTTACCTTATTATGATTAAAATTATTAGGTGTTGTCGGAGGACTGGGAACATTATATTCTGTTTTGACTGGCGTGACTGGAGTACTGGAATTACTGTCGTGGTGATGATTATTGTTATTGTGGTTATGTGCATGATTTCGGTGATGCTTATGATGATTCCGATGTAAAAAGCCTTGAGATGATGGATCTAACCCAAGAGTCACTGCGCTCTTCACCAAACATTGTTGCACACAATTCTAAACATATAAATGTCAACATACATTGATTAAGTAAAATTATCATATAAAAGTACGAAGCCTTTAATTTTGAATCACAAAACAAGCTTAACAATTTTTATTTAATCGTAACAGTCAATAAATATTATTAATAAAAGTTAATTTTTAAGTGATTTTTGAAATTATACGAGCCAAATTTAAAAAAAAAATGTTTCCATCGATAGGCAAGTATCATTAATCATTGTTTACAATATTAAACTAAATTAAAACAAAATATCTTCAAAAAATTAAATTTTTAAATTCTATCTAACCATATCAAAATAAATAAAATCATATTAAGAGAGCGCCACACCCGCATGAGTTGTTTCCGTCTTATACACGACACACGTACGACTAGACACATTTTCGTTACCAATTTCAAATGTATGCTGTTAGTTTTGATATTAATGTGAATTGATCTAGTATCAAACGAACATAATCTGTAGTGTTCTCGTGTTAGTTTTTCACGATATTTTAATTTAATGAATTATAAATATGAAAACGACCATCTCACTTAAAAATTAAAATATCAAAAGAAACCAACATGAGAACACAGTAATTTTCTTACCCAACATTTCGATAAAAAGTCGATTCACTCAAATATCAAAACCTCGATAAAAACTAACAAAATACTATATTCTTTTCTTTTGAAGATATTCTATAATAAAATATAATAATAATATCAATTAACAACATAACATATATATTTATTAAATTAATGTAAATATATAATTGTATGTATACATTTTACAAACTTTCCATAAAAAGTAAGTAGTGAGATAAAACTAAAATTGGAAATATTAAACATGTATACATTATAAAAATATCATAATAGATAGGTAAAAGTGTATAACTAATTTTGTACACATTTTTCTAGAAAATAAATTAATTTCCCGCCATTATCACACATTGCTGTATTTATTTCGATATCTTCGATAGTGCTGTATGCACTACATCTAATAATATAATAATAGGATGTCTCAGGTGTTGATCATCTTCTACTTCTTCCCACCTCTCTTCTAAACCTTTTAGGATACTCAATAACTCGGGCACGTGCCGTGATGTTCTTTTCTTTTACATTTCAGTCAACAATTCAAAACGTTCATTTAGGGATTTTTTTTTTAGTTTAACAAGGAATTTAAATTTTAAAATTCGGCATAATTCTGCCACCATAGGCGTGCGCAGACTTTATTTGCAGGGTATGCGGCTGATAAAATATGCCCCTCTCCCACAGATATAAATGATCCTAAAATTAATGAGCATGACATTTCATCTTACACTTTTGGTTACTAATTTGTTCATGTGCTCCCAAGCGTCTGCCCGAAGGGTATGCAAACGCATAGGGTAAACGCCCATGTGAGTGACTACACTCGATCTCCATATATTATTATATTATGTGATCTTATGACTATAATAGTATAATATATAAACTATAGTTTCTGCGAAACAATGCAATGTTACTTATTGTTGTTCAACGTGTTGTCTAAAATTAATAGTCAGTTAC